TTCTCCACAGACGTTCTTTCTTATCTGTTATTATATGTTGTGAAAGACAGAAATGAGCATTCACTTTGTATTTTCCCTAATTAATACAGAGTTCTTTTCTTAGAGTGGTTGCAACACTGCTATATTACAATTTGCTGGGAGAGGTGAGATACGAAGATGGCCTCAAGAGTCCATGATGAAGGAGTGAAATTAAAGCTTTGAAATCATGCATGCTTACATTTAAACTCTTCTTATTAAGAGGTGCATCATTGGCTTCTAGGCAAATGGACATCTGATTGTTCAAAGAAGACTTTAAATGCAACTAGTCAGGACTTCTGAACATTGACAGAAATTGGCAAAGTGACGTTATCAAATACCTTCAGAAAAAGGGTTTAACGCTCAAGAAACTTCATTCTGACATGGTTACTTCATTATGGGATGACACTCTGACTTTATCACGAGTGGACAGTTGAATTTAGGGGGAGAAGTGAGGGTCTTGAATATGACCCTACTTTTGGGTGTCCTGCAACTACCTTGACCGAGAAAAACATCGATTGTGTTCACCACATAGTGATGGATGACAGGCGATTGATTTATTATAAGCATATCTCCTGAGATAGGGGAGAATATTCCGTACTATGAACTTGGCATGACGAAGGTTTCTACTTGATTCTATTGAACAAAAGCGCACCAGTTTGATCAAATCACGGAAAGCTCTTATATAGTTGATTTCTTTAAGCAATTTCTACCACAGGATAAGTGTTGAGCTCATTACATTTACTCAGTGTAAAATAGACCATCCAAGCAGTGGAAACAACCCTTCTCTACTGCTCCAAAGAAGGCCACATCGTTTAATCTGCAGGAAAAGCGATGTTCTCGGTTACTTATGCAAAAGCATTGTGCTTATTGACTATCTTCACAAGGACTACACCATCACTGGAGAGTACAATGCCAACTTACTGAGGTACTTACAAAAGGCTATCAAAACTAAATGCCAAGGAAAATGGGCCTTGTTTCATCAGGACAATGATCCAACAAGCAAGCTCTTGGTTACAACGGCTGTTGTGTGCTACCGTCTCGTTGAATTGGTTGATCACACTCGATATTCTCCTGAGTTGACTATCATCTGTTCCCCAGCATGAAAAACATCTGGCTGCGTACTAGTATCGCAGTGATGATGACGTCATATCTACTGTTGATTTTTTTTTTTTTTTTGAGCGATCAGACATTAGTTTGCTTGGAAAGAAACAACGCAGTTATTAAGAGTTAAAATTAATGCATGCAAGATTTCAGTGCTCCGGCATCACTTCTTTATCGTCAGCATATGAACTTTTCAGCTCACTCTCTTTCTCATGCGTATCAGTATGAAATTTTATACACCTACTTTGTCCGGAATTTGAACTCGGCTCGCCAATTTCACTCTACAAGATGATAAATTTTACACTATTTGCACTTCTAGTATTAAACGCTTCTAATGTTCGTGACCAACCTGAACGAGTCGATGTGCGCCAAAATAAACGTCTATGAATAACGTCATTCTTTTAAGATTACGTGCTGAGCAAGTCGATTTTGTGTTCTAATAGTTACAGCAAATGCCGAAAAAATAAGAGATCTGGAGCCACCAGGATAATGACCGACATTTTATAAGAGCGAGTGGACGTAAGAGATTCCTGCCAATGGTCCTAATGACCTCTATGTGCGGTCACGGTATTCGATATCGTTGCTGTCGATTCTATCCATTGCCTTTCAGCTACCAGATTCGACCAGGCCTAACCCGACGAGACGTGACTCCGTACCATGTTTGTCTGTCCTGCGGATATAAAGAGTCTAAAGAGCTTGCATATATGATGATACTTCTTTTAAATGCTTTATATTTACCTACAAAAAAACTCTCTCTAGCTTTCTACCTCTCTCCCACTCCCTCTCTCTTTTTGGTTATCTCTGTATCGTTCACTCTCTCTCTTTTTATTTCCGTATCTTTCACACACACTCTCTCTCACTCTCTTCTTATCTCTGTATCTTTAACTTTCTCTCTCTCTCTCGCTCTCACTGTCTCTCTTTCTTGTTATATTTCTATCTTTTACTCTCTCTCTCACTCTCTCTCTCTCTCTCTTTCTGGTTATCTGTATCTTTCACACTCTCACCTACTCACTCTCTCTTTCTTTTATCTCTGTACCTTCACTCTCTCTCATTCTCTCTCTCTCTCTATCTCTCTCTCTCTCTCTTGTTATCTCTGTATCTATCACACTCTCACTCTATCACTCTCTTTCTTATGCAGGTGGTGCAATGGATAATGGCTTGGAATTATTAATTGGAGAGTCGAGTTCCAATTCTCGTTAAGCTTTTTATATTCTTTTACACGCAAATACTCTTGAGAATGGTCAGAATCCAGCTCTTTTTTCCCACATCTATAGGTTAATTTGTAAGACTTGCATCACTTACTTGCAATCTATCTATCTATCTCTACCTATCTATATCTCTATCTATCTATGTCTCTTCTTCTAGTAGCAAATTGGTTTGATTTTTTTTCTCTTTTGGATGAAGTAATTTCAGCGATATTATTATTTTTCTTCCTAATATCGAGGTCAATTTATTTCATAGTATTATTAGTAGAAATAAATATTATCTGGATATCTATATTATATTATTGTTTTGATTAAATGAAACATTGTCAGCTATGATTAATTTTTGACTAGTATTTCTTTCATCTTCATTTTAATGACTTTTCATCTAATTTTAATCCACTTACAATGAGTTTTCTTATTAAATAAATCATCAACCCAGCAATAAATATTATGTACACTATTGACATTATTCGAACTGTTGTTTTCATCTTTGTCGCCATATTCACTGGATCTAACTAACGCCTTTAGCCGCCCAAGGCACAGTGGATAAAGGCGTTGGTTAGATTCAGTGACAGGACCCAAAGAGTGTGAGTTCAATACCCGGTTAAGGCAGTGGAGAACTTTCAGAGGGGAATGAACAAGAGATAACTGATAACTGATATCCATTAAACATGGCATGTGGAACTAGAACAGTCTACCCCAGTGAGCGAAATAAAGGGTTCAGTTCGACATTCCAACCACCTGAAGAAGGCCGGAGCGTACAAAGATGAGGATAACAGTCAGAATAATGAAAAAAGTATACATAATACCTCATCTCAGAAATATAGACAGATACTGAAAGGCCGAAACGTTGTAATAAATATGGCTACAAAGATGAGGACAATAGTCCGAATAATGTAAATAGTGCACATAATACCTCATCTCAGAAATATAGACAGATACTGAAAGGCCGAAACGTTGTAATAAATATGGCAACAAAGATGAGGACAATAGTCCGAATAATGTAAATAGTGTACATAATACCTCATCTCAGAAATATAGACTGATACTGAAAGGTCGAAACGTTGTAATAAATATGGCGACAAAGATGAAGAAAATAGTCCAAATAATGTAAATAGTGTACATAATACCTCATCTCAGAAATATAGACAGATACTGAAAAGTTGAAACGATGTAATAAATATGGCGACAAAGATGAGGACAATAGTTTCGAATAATGTAAATAGTGTATATAATACCTCTTCTCAGCAATATAGACAGATAATAAATATTATGTATAAATTTTTATTTTAACTAGTGTTTCAATCGAACAGGTTGTTTGTGTTTTAGAAAGTAGGATATATACTACATCTACTAAATTTGTTCCTTACTATATTACGGTTATTTAAATATTGATTAAATATAATCACGTTTTTCTTGCGTCAATGGATAGTATGAGTAACTTTAGCGTCTTTCAAGTGAATTCGAAGTGAATTTACTATGAATTAATCTGATTTTTACTAAGTGCGACCCAATTCTGTTTTATCCGAAGCGTGTCTTTTCTGGTTAAATATCGACACAAATGACTCATTGTTTGGGTGGATGACGACTCGAGATGAAAACACCGATTTTCACCATAGCCGGCAACGCCTAGATATTTGAAAAATCGGTGACATTTGAACACTGGAAAATATTCTGAAATAGGTTTGACATTCAATGTAGGTTCAGGTGATTTGTCAAACATTTAACAACACTGATCGCTTTGTACCCATGTAACTGACTAAAACCCCTGTCAGAAATGTTCTATCGATTTTAAAAATACCTTTTTGATGTAGAGTTTCCTGTGACTTTTGTCTGTCTGACTTTTTGGTAGGTAGATTTGCCTTGATATACATTATTTACATTGTGACTAATGTTTGAATTTTGTAGTTATTATCACAACGTTTCGATGGTTACGTTCTCCTTCTTCGTGTTTGATAACTTTCAAGGGAATTCTAACTGAACTCTATGTGATTTGATTATTCCCGCTCCACTTTCCTTGGATAGGGATGTCTTATTTTGTTATTATTTACAATTTCCCAGTACTTGCTCACCCAGTTTCCTCTTGGTCTAAGATTGTATTATTCGGCCCAGGCATTGAATTAGTTCAATAACAGAACAATAGTAAATAACATGACGATATTTCGCATTACTGTTTTATATATTCTTTGATGTATAATATTTTAGGACGTTAATGATCATGGCTTTCTTCCTGTCATTTGTCACTTTACCTTCAATCTGTGTCCTTGTTTTGCCATACATTCACTGAAACCAGTTAAGTAGATTAGTCGCTCTTTGTTTACTTTATTTATTTATTTATTTATTTATTGTAATCACTGAGATATAAAAGAAAACTCTTAAAGATATGATCTCGACAGGGTGATGGATGTGGCGATATATACGTAAAAAGGAGGTCCCTTAAAAAACCTTCTAAAAAAAGATCATACCATGATGAAAAAAGGTCACTAATTTGCTAAAAACAATTTTTTATCGTCAAAATATTTGTCATCCTTATGAGAAAAAAACGAAGTATTTTTTGATTATTTTATTAAAATTTTTAATCCCTTCTAGCATGTATGTTAAAAATCACGTTTTTCTTGTGTCAACGGATGAGCCAATGATTAGTATAAGTAACTTTAGCGTCTTTTTTGGCGGTAAAAAAACTTTGTTTTGGAAATTCTTTCAAAAAACAATTAATGTTGGATTTTAATGAAATTTTCAGGAATAGTTTTTTTTTTTACATCCATTACCACCGCTTGCTTAATTTTATGAAATTCCGAGAAATTAAAATTCCACCCTCTTCATATTTATAATTAGCAGGGCTACTTGGAGAATTTAAATCATCAATTTGTTTTTGTCAAACAGAAATATAATTTACCGAAAATCTACACTGATTCGTCAAATAAAAAAATGCAATAAATCTATGACATTATTTAATTAGAAAAGCGTTTTAAGGACACTATGGTCTTTAAAAATCATCGATGAATAATGAAGTTTTACAAGAATTGTTTTCATCTTTTTAAAATTTTAATTAAAAAATATTAAATTTTAAATCTTTTATAATTCTGTCTCGTAGATGATATTAAGTGAAAACTATATTTACTAATCATAAATGGAAAAGCTTAATACAAATCATCAACACCAATATTTTTAAAAGAATCTTGAATTTTTGTGTATAAACGTGTCGATTTTTGTAAGTACGGGTGACAGTACAATGATATTATCAGAAAATAAGAGCGATAACCATACTAAATTTAAAGCTAGAATTTCAAAACAATAAAAACATTAGATTATAGATAATATTTTCCTAAAGTTTTAAGATTACTGAGTATTTAGAAAGGAAATAAAAAAAAAGGCGCAGACGTCATTTTCTTCGATTATGTTTTACAGATAAAGTCTCCGTAGAAAAAACATTAGATCTGACATCAGGTTTTCAACGGAACTACTTTCGGGTTAAAATCACAGATACGTTTCAGCGATATTTTACTCTTAATGTAAATAATATTTGTTTCAAATCAGATTATTTATATTTTAAATCAGATCATATTCTTCAAATATAGTTTCAGGAAAGTATATTTTATTTTTTAAAAGTTTTTAATGAAGCGAATTACATTGCGATGAAAGTCGGTTAAAAAGGGAGATAATCAGCTTTTTTAGAAAAAAAGTAATTCCAGTTAATTTAAATTAGTTTTTGAAATTCACCAATGTATTTTGCTTATTGGAAATATTAAATTTAATCTATTTGCTTGAAATTAAAACTAAAATAAGAGCTTCAAGTAAGATCTTTCATTTTTTAAAAATTCACTTTAAAACTTAGGCATTGCGTTTCTTTGTGGATATTTCTAGGTAAAAAGAATTTGAATTTGGCAGCCAACAGATGGGGATAAGATCACATAATGATGGGGGTGAAAGGGCGCATAGTTTTTTTTTTATTCTTGTGTCACAGTAGATAATGAAAACTAGTATATGCAAATTTTGAACAGACATTATCTGCATATGATATCTGCAAGCGTCCGTCCTGGATTTAATGCTGGGTCTAACAACAGATGCCAACGGTGTTAATTATCCAAGAACATTAAATCCAATTACGCCCTATTTCATGTCCTTTTTCATGTGCTATGTCCTATCAGGACGTCGGCGATCAATGTTCTCCGTTTTAATTGTCTCCACTCTGATAGCCTTTCCCTCATCTATATCTATAATTCTCGAAAATGTCTATGTCTGTATGTTTGTGTGTGATAAGATGTTGTTTATGAGTTTCTACAGTTTTCATCCGATTTCGATGAAATTGTTTTTTGTGTTTGATAGATAATTCTTCAGTGCCCGTTTTGAGTCCAAATTGTTGGCGACAATGGCTCTCCACTACTTCCTGTCCATTATAACTCTCAGCAATGTTTTACTATTTACTATCTGTTCTTGGATATATATCTTTCATAAAAACCTTGATAAAAATAAATAAAATTATTACATTAATATTATATATTATTATACAGTTCCCTTTTCAGCTCCCCCCGTTCAAAATTTTAAGCCCCCATTTCGGGATGCGCCTCAGTTGCACCCAATGGTTGTAACTAATATTGATTTTCAACGTAGGTTGACTTTAAACTAAAACTGCTTCAAATTGAACGGCAAAAATTCCCAGTAATGAAATTGCCAGGCAAAGGCGGGTTATACTACTAGTTCATTATATAAGTTTCTGTTTGCTTTTTGTTTCTGTCAATCTGTTCTGTCAGTGATTTTTCTTTCTTTATATAGTACACCACAAATTTCCACCATTACTCTCTGACTTTACATATAAATGTCTTTTTATTTGACATTGAGAACTTCCTTCTTACTCAAGTGTTCTGTCCATGTTATTCTCGACACCCACCTCTAGAACCACATCTATCAAATATAACTATTGTATTATTACAATTATTTGTAGTATCATGACATAAATATAGTGTAGTCATAGATATAAACTCTGCATGCTGACTGGGAGTTTCTCTCTATAATCGATCATCAAGTATTGTATCTTTAAAGAGGTTACAAACAAACAAAGGTGGTACTCGAGTGAAGGAACAGCAACACGTGAGTAGATGAAAGATGAGAGGTTTCTTGTAAAAAAGAATACCCTACTGAAAGACAGAGAATCGGGTGGCAAGCTAGTAATTCTAGA